CTGTTTAATTGAACCTTTAATAATTTTGCAAAGGGTATGTGTGTATTTTAATATAGCCTGATCTGAATTTATATGTTCTCAGCTTTAGTATTTAACATTTTGTAACAAATAAACCTTTTTTAAAACAAGTTTAACGAAGTGTTCTGTAGTTATTTTACCTCAGATGATGAAATACTAAAATGATTTTGGAAATACTGCCTTGCCTTTCTCAAGCATAATTATGTCTCACAGATAATTTCCATTCTGTAAAATATTTAGTGTTGCTGAGATGACTTGTGTGTGATGAGATAAAGAAATTTATGTTACCTTTAATGTCTGGTACCAGAATTTCTCTTTGCAAGATAACTGCCTTTATTTAGAAAAATGCTTCAGTTAATTATTTGTCATAGAAGTGAGCCCCTGCAGGCTTGAGTGTTGGGGGAGGGGAGCAAGATCTGAGAGGTGGAGAAGCTGCTCCACATAATAGAGGGATGAGAATTTGAGACTTCCCAGGGCTAAAGGAGCCAGGTAGGAGGGGGGGAGAGGCCAGGCACCCATAACACACAGATGGATCATGCCTTGTATGTTGCTGCCCCTCCCCAGAAGCTTCCCAAGTTGTCTGTAAAGTCTATTAAACTCATAAAGGGCTCCACAGTTCCTTTGGAATTATTTTCCTAACACAGATCTGATCTGGACACACACCTCCCTAGAAGACCCCTGTTGCCCATGAAAGAACCTCCACAGCCCTCGTTGCCAGCAAGGCCTTTCACAACCTAGCCCAGCCTTTTCTGCCTGGGCACTGCTCCCCCAGACAGGAAGGAAGCCCCTGTCCTGACACCCTGGACCATGCATTCAGATTGTCTGTGAACCGGCATGCCTTATAGTCTTCCTGTGGCTTGGGTTGTGTTGCCATTCCCTGTCTACTTGGCAAACTTGCCTGTCCTGTGAAGCCCAGCTTAAACATCATTCGTTGTTAACATTAAACTATATCAGTGAGGAAGACAACTAAGGTTTTGAGAATGTAGCCTGCCTCACGACAGGGAAATCATTTGCAGGCAGTTAAAAGAACATTTGCATACCGTCAAACACTGACACTGGGAGCATTTTCCCCTTCCTTACGCCCAACAAGAACTCTTCTGTCCCCTCATCCCATCTTACTGCTCAGATTCCTGTGGAGCCCCCCAGGCAGAGGGGTCTCAAGGATCATTTTGTTCATGTTCTGAATTCCCTCAGTGGTTCATCACTTGTCACTTTTCCATTCTTTGTGTTCATCACCTCCCCTCAGCTGCCACCCTGATCACCCAGGCCACATGCCAGCTGACCTCTCCATGACTTGACATAGGGCAGACATGGCTTCAGGAGTGAGCATGCTTTTCCTTTGCATTTGCAAGCTTGAGATGATTGTTCTAGCGGAGGCATCTGGCCTTTCCACTGCCATTTAGTACATAGACAGTTATGCCAGGCCCTGTGCTTGGTGGAGTGTTGGGAAGGGGTCACAAAGGTAGAGACATGGTCCCTGCTCTCAAGTGATAGCCTCATAGAGAACACCAATACACAGATACCTAGAAATGTTGTAAGTGCCGTAACAGGTATGAATAAAGAGCTACGGAAATGTAATGCCTTCTGACGCTCCCGCCGCGGGTTCGGAATCCTATATAGGGATGGCCGGTGTGCTCACTGGCTGAACGCGGTGTGGCCGGTCTCAAAAAGGACAACAAAAAAGAGAAGAGGCAGGAAGCGAAGGGTCAAGGACCCAGCACTCAGTATAAGCCCGGAGAAATCCTGAGCATGAGAGATTGGAAGGTCAACAAAAATGTGAGCGGAGGACTGCAGGAGGCTTAGCCTACGAATATCCCAGTTCAGCCCACAGCCACCCCCCAAAAGAGAGAAAACGTCTTGGGAGGTTTCACGTGACTGCCCCACTGGCCCAGGCCTCAGAGAAAAGTCTAGTCTTTTGGTCAAATGCTTGTGAATTAAACCAGAAAAATGGGGGTGGGGTAAAGGGGTAGAAAAACTATCAACGAGACATGACAGGGACTTGGGTCCAGAGGTCAAAGGTCAAACTGAAGGTATTGGATTGGTTTTCTAAATTTACAGCGACTTGCCCCAAGGAACAGGTTGTCTTGGAGGTAATAAGGACACTTTGGTCTTGTTAAGGGACGCCCCAACCCCTACTGATCTTAACATATGCATTCTGCTTCTGTACAAATC